TTTTGGTACAATTTTAGATGGGCATTTGTTGTTGATGCAAATTGAAAATAATTACATATTTTAAAGATTAAAGTAAGAAAAAAAAAATAAGGGGCAAGGTGTAATGTACCCTTAAACAAATACATTATAATCCAAAAGTCGACCATAAAGTTGCATATATCCAAGCTCATACGTGTGGTTTGAATGTGTTATATGTGTTGAACAATTTCCCATTCTTTGTTTTTGATGTTACACAGTTGGTAAATGCACCTTTTTTTTTTTTTTACTATATAATTGTTGAATTTAATCATCATAGCTCTAAGACATCAAGTCGTAATGATGATTCCATTGATTCCTCTATTTGTGTGGTCCTTTTATCATTTGGTAGGTAAACCAACCTCCATTGCTACAGCATATGATCAACAATATACATCTACACTTAAAATGAATTTCATATGTGCATTTCTTTTTTATCCAAAAAAGTTGGCCAGATCTGACTTTATCTTTGGATTTGCTTAAGTAATGACTCGTGGTCCCGGGTACGATCCCAAGGACTCCCTCCCCTATCCAACCAAAAAACCTTCACCTATCTATCAATGAGCTGGGTAACGTAATCCTTATCCACCGGGGCAACCCATTTGTTCAGGTATTAACCTGATTTGAATCTTTGAAATCACATGAAATGGGTAAAAAAATGCGATTTGAATAATCAATTTTGAGTTTAGATGGTAAAAAATTAGTGTGTATATAATTTCGTTTTATAATATATGTCTAATCTTATCAATCTGCTTGGGAGTGATCTAGTCAATTCTTAATCAAAGCTCAAAATTGTTTGTTAATTTGATTGTACAAAATTTATGGAGTTCACATCAGATCATATCAAATCAAGTGAGTGTAGTGTCCTATTTTATCCAGGTCTAACTTTATCTTTGGATTTGCTTAAGTAATGACTCGTGGTCCCGGGTTCGATCCCAAGGACTCCCTCCCCTATCCAACCAAAAAACCTTCACCTATCTATCAATGAGCTGGGTAACGTAATCCTTATCCACCGGGGCAACCCATTTGTTCAGGTATTAACCGATTTGAATCTTTGAAATCACATGGAATGGGTAAAAAAATGCGATTTGAATAACCAATTTTGAGTTTAGATGGTAAAAAATTAGTGTGTATATAATTTCGTTTTATAATATATGTCTAATCTTATCAATCTACTTGGGAGTGATCTAGTCAATTCTTAATCAAAGCTCAAAATTGTTTGTTAATTTGATTGTACAAAATTTATGGAGTTCAGATCAGATCATATCAAATCAAGTGAGTGTAGTGTCCTATTTTATCTAGACTAATAATAAAATATTATTGTTTCTTTGGTAGTCATACTACTCTTTGTCTACCCATTTTCACTTTTCTTTGAGGACTAGGTGAATAGCTTACGTGTCAAAAACAAAAGCCCCAAATTTGTGAGTAATTGATGGGGTCTTCAAAATTTATTTTATTTTTTTCACTAGTATTTTTGGAATTTTATTCCGACTAATCCCAAATACATATAATTCTCCTGTTTCATATATAACAAGTAATTTATAACGAGGCTAAACATGCATCATTTATTTTATCTGCTAATTTTTATTTTTATTTTGGACAAAGAAGGGTTATAGTTTGAAAAAGTAGTTAAAGTTTGATTAATGATTATGAAGCGTGACATTAATTTTATCGGAATATATTAGTAAAAAATATGCAAATTGTTCAGAAAAATAATAATAATAATAATAATGAAACTGCCCCTTGAAGAATCAAATAATGATAAGGCTTGCCTCGACATAGGTGGCAATGGAGCAACCCCCTCTCTTTCATTACACACTCCACCTTTAAGGGCCCGCCAAATTGGCGAATTGGAGAAAATCAATCCGTATTCGTCCGCCAATCCGGCGGATGTGGATTGAGCGGATTGGTGGTTTGGCGAATGGATGCGAATTGGTTTAGCGGTTTAAAATTTTATAAATTTTCAATATGATAACTTGTGCACTTCCTAAAAAAAAAAATAATAATAAAGTATTACAATCAATGACTTAAAAAAAAATTCAGTGTATTTGGTTTTAGTTTTTTGAATTAAGTTTTTTGAAAACTGAGTTTTTGATTTTCGTATTTTTTTGTTTTTGTTTTTAGTGAATATTTTTAAACATTTTAAACATTTTTTTTACCTTTTTAGATGCACCTTGCTTAAATGTATCTAAAAAGTAAAAAACTTGTAAAAAAATAATTTATAAAATTAATAAATACATAAAAATACCAAAAATATATTGAATTCTCTTTTCTTTTTCTTTTTCTTTTTTTTTTTTGTATTTTTAGTATTTAGTGAATTTTAAAAGATTTTTTTCACAAAAATTAAATTTTTTATGTGTATTTACGTCAAGTGTGTATAAAAATTAAAAAAAAAAATTGCTTAAAATATTTTTTAAAAATCAGTAAAAATAAAAAAATACAGAAAATAAAAAAGTAAAATTTTTTGAAAAGTGCCTTTGGAAAGTAAATTATTTTTAGTTATATATGTGATTTGATTAAAACCAACAGCCAAAAGTGATCTATACCCTATGTTTGGAAAAATGGGTTGGGATGGATTGGGTTGGATTTGAAATGATTTTAGTCATAAAAAGATAAAATAGATTTTTTAGTCTAATAAGACAAAACATCACATCCAACTTATAATCATCATATTCTTTCTCTCAAAAAAAATTTAAAAAAAAATCTTTCCAAATAAAATTTTTTAACTCCAAATTAAAAAATTAAAAAGTTAATTCATTTCTCAAAGGAAGCCTACGGTGAGGTATAAAGAAGAAGAAGAAAAAGTGTAAACAATTTTGAATCATTAGGACAAGTGGGCAAAGTTTGTGGCTACAATCATGGTGTACAGAAAACATGTGGGGCCCACATCTAAAAAACAAAAAACAGCAACTCAGTAATATGTTGGATCCATCGTACACTTTGGGCGACAATATGAAACTATAAGTGGGCCTTGTTCGAATCATAACCAAGTCCACATTCATTAAACCTTCCCTATTGTCAATAATTATATGGTATTAATATTTAGGGTCCTGTTATGGTGTGTATGCCACTAACACAAAAGGCGTAAATGGAAGATATAAACATTAAACAGGATAGCAACAGAAAAGGCGTAAATGGAAGGCGTAAGTTGCACGCTTAAGAAAAGTCCTAATATTTATCATCCACCATACCATATCATATGATAATTGCTATTCAACTTGCTTAGTACAGTTTGTTAAAATATTTAGTGAGCGGAAATAAATTAAATAACTTCAAAAAATTAGGTATTTAAAAGTTGAGAAGGGGGTGTTTAGCTTCTATTTTTTTATTATTAACTTTTTAACTGGAGAAAAAACATTTAACTCAGGAAAAACTATTACTAGCAAGGGTCTTCACACAAAGAAAACTTTTATTAAGCTTTACTATTAAGGACCTTTGGACCGTGTTTGGGTCAGTTTGCGGGAAAAATAAAAAATAAAAAACATCAACTGAAAACTCCCTTTGGCAGATTGAGAATTTTTCAACTTCTCTGCAGTAAAAGAAAATCAAACAATTAAAAAAATTCACACAATGCTCAGAACACATAAATTTTTGCTACATTAAAATCAAGTGTTTGCAATATAGAATGTGCAGAGAGTGAAGTCTGTGTCCCACAGAGATGAATCTAGACTACTGAATATATTTGTGATATTTTTTGTCGGTATTTTTTTTCAAAATAAACAATCAATCAACCGACTAAAAAAAAATTTTAAAAAATGTATCCAATCCTAAAACTCAAAAGCAAGCATAATACCGCAGTATCATTCTCTCACAATTTCATACAATACCTGTCAATACATAAAAAATATAAAAAAAAATTAAAAATTAACCTATAAAATGTTCCTCACCAAAACATGCTCTTCATTAAAAGAACTATTGCACATTATTATAAGGTATATATATAAAATCCTACTACCCAACTTTTTGGTACATAAAAATAATTGAGTACACACCATGTCGGCCCTTGACATGATGCGAAATCGAATAAGAATTTTACACCTCAGCAGGTATGATTTAGGGTGTGATTCGGAGTGTGTCTATAGGCTTATTCTATATTTTCCTCGGCTTCTATTCTGTTTCTACTATCCTACCTACCTACCAAACATAGCATACAAGACTTGCTTGGAGAGCAGTTGCCAAAAATGCCATTTCCAATGTTTCATCTGATCGTTAGTATTCAATCTGGCTCACAAGTCACAACAATGCAAATTACTAAATAATAAAGTGACCTAAACTCAGATATTTGTGATGAAGAAGAAGATCAAAATTTCTGAACCCTGTCTGGAAATCAATTTGTTCAGTGAAGCAAAACTTAAAAATACTCTCATCCTAGCTAGCAAGAACCACAACAAAATACTTATACTATGAAGCCTCATGATAATCACTTCTCACATACCAATTTGAGACTGCATTGAACTTCCTTAGGAGCCTTGAAAAAGGTTTCTACATAAGCATCCATAAGATAAAAGCAAGAAATGCCTTTCAAACCCTCTTAAAATTAAGGCAGTTAAGCTTCGGAGTTACAAAATCGGAAGTTGGTCCAATTCAATTCAAAATAAAAGAAGAGAAAAGGCCACAAACAAAGTTCAATGAAAGACAAACAGGAATTTAGTGACCTTTCTCATTTCCAAGAAAAGAAAATAAAAAATCTGATCATCATATACCCAATTCTCAGGACAGTCATAGGCTTACCTGATGGAAATGGCTTTCTTCATGTTAATGAGTTCCAGATCACATGATGTTTGACATTCCTTGTAGTGAACCCCAAATGAACAGAACGGGACTCGTTCCTCCCGGGGCGTTCGGGGACGTCTACAGCTATATATCAGTATGACAATAAGATATGAAACTTTGCACAACAAACTATACGAAGCTTTCTGAGTTCCAAGAATAGAAGAAATGTTCGGTGAAGACAGACCTAGATGGCAGTGAAAAAGGTTATCGCGTTTTGCTCTAACTTGTACGGCGAACTTCACCACCTTGTCTTGTGCTTATCGTACTAATGCTTAAAGGGGCAGTACTCTGACTTGACAGCTGGACATCAGAAAGTGATGCGGAACCAGTTTGTGAAAAGATCAAACCAACTGAACTACTTGAAGTGTTTCCAGAAGAAGGCATTCTACTTGAATGGGGGTTTGACCCAGAAATAAATTCAGGGCGCAGCTCTGAATAAGAAAACGATGGAGCCATAGTAGCAAGAGAAGGCCCAACCATGTAGGGAGCAACCGACATGTCTGTAAGAGATGAAGCTGATGGACTATATCTTCCTGTTCCCATTGGATGATCAAATTTGCACGTGTGCCCAAACTTGCAGTATCCATTTTGCAGATAGAAAGCACAAGGTTGCACCCCCTGTTCATTGAAGGAAAAATCAGATGGAACAATTTTTTTTTTTTTAATACATTAGTTAACAAAATAGAGAAAGAAATAAAAAAATGCATGAATACATAATGAAATGAAATACAATCACAACATGCCTTCTTCATTTAAAAGCAAATCCACCACTAGCACCAAGATGTCGAGAACTGAAGATACTAAATAGAATAACCCTTTTAAACCTAGGGACTAGAAGTCCATGAATCTAATCAGAGACCACTGCAAAATATGCAAGCAATCAAATTTCTGCATAGAATAGCTATATGATGTCATATCACAGAAGGAAATAGAAGTAACATACATGTGAACATGTCAACAGACAGACAAACGAAGTCAACAGATAGATATGCGAAGTAATATACATGTAATCATGTCAACAGATAGATAATAAACTAAGTAAACCATTTGCTGGACGATGTGGTGCCCAACAGAGAGCTGGTGATTTCTTTTGACACAAAATAAAAAGTGACTTGCCTCTCCATCCAACCATGAGAGGGGATTAATTTGGTACATACATTCTTGTTTGCCAGTAGGCTCCTATATTTTGCTATCTCACAAGACATACAAATCTGAAAGTTAGTTACTTGAAACTTTTTTTGTCCTACAGCCTTCAATCAGCACATTATCACTCCTAATTAATCCAGTCATTTTTCCTTGTTGAAGACTAGCAAACTATCTGGCGAATATCTCTCATCTTATCTTCTATAGATAACATCTCATTAATGCACTCACAACCTTTGATATCACCTTCCAAGCTCCTCTATTTCTCCCTTTTCATCCTCCGTCTGTTTCTCCCCTCTTGCTCCCTCTATGGAGTTGCCAACCCACCATCATCAGGGCCACCAACACAACTTCACCACCACTAAGGAAGAGAATATTTGCTCTGGAGCTGTGTGACTCCACCAATGTGTTTGCTTTGGTATTGAAGAGGATCTGGATGGTGAGAGAGAATGGAAGAAAATAATGATGGTGGGCTATGTTGATCATGGTGGTGGTGGAGAAATAAAATGGTATAGGGGTGCAGGTTGACAATCCAAGGCAAACATGTTGTGCAACTCCACCATTGCTACTCATCAAAAAAAAAAAAACTCCACCATTGCTAGAGCCAAAGGTGATGTGCAACTCCAACACCACCGGAGCTAGAGGTGTTGCACTACACCACTGTGGTGTGTTTGGTTTGGTAGAGTTGATTTGGATTTAATCAATTTATGGTACAATTACAAGAAGGTTTTGAACCCTACATGTACATTGTCTACATTTACCAGGCGTTTGGGGAGTACTCCATATGGAAGGAGTTACAAGGGTAATTAGGAATTGTAGGGTTGCTTGGCTAGAGAAATTAGTGTGTACTATTGATTTTGGTTGGTTCTTTGGATTTGTTGGATTGCCCATTAATGTATATGTAGTAATATGTGCACACATATATTTATATGCCATCAATTTGTTGAATTGCCCATTATTGTAATTTTCTTACTATTTTTCTTTTCTGTTGTTCCTCTCTTTTGTGGCAAATTTGGTGTGGGTTTGTGGAGGTGGTAGTGGATGGTGATTTTGGTAGGTGATGGTAGATGGAGGGGTGGGAAGGGGTGGTGATTGGTGGATGTTGTAGGTTAGTCGTGGTGGCCATGGGGTGGGTTTGCACTGAGTTCTGCATATTAGTGTAATACATGAGAGATGAAAGAGGGATAATAAAGACATTTCAATTTTTCGATTAATGCTGTTCAAAGATAGACTTTGACAGAGGTCAGTGTAATTTTCCAGAATGTGAGGGGAAATATGTATCAAAGGCAAACCTCAAGGCATGTAGGTGTAATTTACCCCCAATTTTTTTTTTAAAAAATAAATCAAACATGATAAAAGTCTAACAATGCTAATAGTTTGAGAGAGAGAGAGGCTACAACAATGAAATGAAAATTAATTGTAACATTTCAATACCACATATGCACTCCCGTATTTATACAATGATTTGACTTTTGAATTTCAACATGCAAACACAAGCCACACAACTTGAAATGTCACTACTTGGGGTCAGCTATGTGAACACTTTTGACAGTTCAACATATCATTAATTAAATCATTGTCTATTACCTTTTTCTGATAGCCCATCGCATATTCCTATTGACCTTCTTGTAGTCCCTGTGGTAACCATTAACTTAAATCATAGCACTCCTCTTTACATTGATATTTATTGTGGATCACCAACCACCAATACTTCTCCATATCTTATCCCTTGGTGCCATATCATGCTTCTCACATCACAACTCACAAGTGCACCAGTAACACCTGAAACAACCCGATACTAAAGCCCATTTAAATTCCTTGAAACCTTTGTAGGTTATTGGATCTAGTATATCATTAATGTTGGCCAACATGCACACCTAAAGGTGGTCTTTCAAACCTAGATAAGAACTGTGAAAACATACATCAAAATCTAGAAGTCTAGATAAGTTGGAATAAAATAAGTACCCGGAGGGCAAGTCAATCTAGTTAATGCAAAATGAATTTCTGACATGGATTGCTTTATTGAAACTTAATGAATGAAGGAAAATCACTCATTCATAAAAGCAAACTTAAAATCTGGAAATCAAAAGAAAACACTGGACAAGTGAAAACACCAAATAATAAACAATGGAATAAAGAACCCCCTATCCTTGCAAGGGTCACTTAGGCCTTGTTTGGGAACAGACTATTTTAGTAACTTTTTGGCTTTTTAGCTAAAATATGAGGTAAAAAAAACTAGTATGTTTGGAGTGGCTTTTTGACTTTTTACGAAAAGATATGCAAAAAGTAGAGAGAAAAGAGAATCTTTATCTTTTTGGTATAGGTTATAGGTCTTTTGGCTTTTTTAGTAACTTTTTAGCTTTTTGACTACAATGTTAACTTGACAAACGAGGCCTAAATTCATGATTTTGACAAAGCATTTAGAGAAAAATCTCTAAATTCATCGTTTTGACTTTACTAAAAGGGCTGAGACTTTTTCTCTCTATATATATATTTTGACAAATATTGATGGAAGGAAAAAATTAATAACAAATATTGATGGAATGAAAAATTTATCTTAAAAGGAACAAAACTACAAATCAGCAAAGAACAAAAACTATATCTTCATAAAAATCAAGCATGTCTACTTATTTACTAAAGAACTAAGCTTTTAAAGTTCCGAACTCAATTTAGCACAGAACTCCATCAGTCGTCTCAAAATAAAAAAAAAGAATATACTTCAATTTTAGAAACAAAATGATATGCAATGCAAAATTCAAAAGGAACAAGAAAATTACATCACTACTAATTTACTTCTAACAACAACGTATGATGTTCCATAACTTCATAATATATGGTAACAAATATGTCACAAACCCATATCCAAGTCTACGTCCACAAAAATAAGAAAGAGGTGACTCAAAAGCCATGACTTGAGCTAAAAAAGAACAAAGGTCTATGGTTCTACTATCCAACCACTCAAATATATGTCAATGTCTCTACCAATGTCCACTTGATTATGATCAATCAAACTTCATGACAATAACCTATAAATTTGAATTTTCAGCTGCTACAATACTACTAGACACCCAAAATTTCTGGTAAGACAGGATACAAGGTCTATGATTCCTAGCGGAGGACAAACACTTAGTAATCCAGTGAATCCGATTTACACATTATAGAACTCAAACCATACAATGCACCTCTATAATTTATAACCAGTTCAAGAAGGTGCTTGTCTTGGTTAAGTTCCTCCCTAGACTTTTCTTTTCATTTTTTTTTTTTTTATTTTTATAAGTGAGAACTCTCTCTTCACAAGGGCACAACATAAACTTATTTAAGCCTTCACATACTTTATATAAACTAGTAATAATATTTGTCTAGTTTTTGTAGCTAGCCTTGGTAATAACCCTCCTTAACAAGAAGCACAAGGGTGTTCCAATTATAGTTCTTCAATACCAAAATTTTCTATGCATCCTCTGCCCTATCACTCGATTCTCCCAATTTCCTAAAACAAGAGCACTTTAAGAATCAAGGTAGGACATTGTACATCCCTCTTGTTCTCATATGCAAGAAAAATATAAACCACCCACAAGCATGTTCCATCTTCTTCGTCTTTTTCCAAATACAATTGAATGCCTCCATTATCTCATTTCTCTTGTTTGGGGGGGGGGGGGGGTTATGGGGATTTTTTTTTTTTTTTTTATTCGTCAATTAAAAATCACAACTTTTTCTTGGAATAAATAATTGCCCGGGGGGGAGGGGATCTAAAGTTTTCCTTCTATATGTTACGTCAATTAAAAATCACACCTTTTTCATGGAATAAATAATTGCTTACAAACCACCTTCCAACGCATAAACCTCCAATTATCGTTTGTGAAAGTCTTCCATTCCTTTCCATGTTAATACATTCTCAACTCCAGTTAAAACAAGAAGCCACCTATCAGAGTTCTACATCAAGCTTAAAATTTGGGAATTAGTACTCTGATCAGGTAATCAAATTAGACTCCCCACGAGTTGTTTGTTTTTATCTATCAATCATTTTTTATGACATCAAACTTCTCATGAGTTGATGAGCATCCAAAATGCATAGATGTACATATATACATCCAAAATTATTTATTTACATAAATATAACTACAAATGTAACTAAATGCACTCTTCAATATCAGTGGAAGCAGAAATCTCCAATTAAAAGCAACTCGTATGATTAACATTAAAATATAGACCACCAACACAAGAATCAAATCTCTTCATAAAGCCACTTCATGTTTAACACTATTATCATGACACAAGAGGCCCTTAGTCAAAAAGCAATCATATTTGGTATATCACAAATGCGCTTTCTTCACCATTAAAATTGAAAAGAAGGAACAATAAATCAGCTCCTAACATAAGAAAAAATTAAATAATCAAAGGATTTGGCAAACATACTGGACGCAGGGGGAAACCCAATGGGCTGAGGAGATAATTCGCCTTTGATAACACCCAATCCGGTGGATGATGAAACCTACAAGATGAACCAAATTTGCAATCCCCCGTTTTCAAATAGTATTGGCATTCGGGTGCCCAGGCTCTTGGAAACACTCTTTCCTTTTGATAACACTTGAAGGGTCACCAGTAGAGGGTAAGGGGGAATATGGTACTGAAAATGCAGGTGCTGAAGAAGATAGCTGTGGAACTCCATACAGAGAACTTGTACCAACCGTGGGTGGAGCACTAGGGGACAATACAGGGCTTACAGGTCCCTATATCAAGTGAATGCACACTACGATAAGAAGAGCAGTTACATTTTAAGAAATATAATACAAAGAACTTGGTGACATACCGAGTAAGGACTCCAACCCGGAATGGGAACAACTCCAGGGGGAAGTAGCACAGGACCATAAGCACCAGGCACATATGAGCCAGGCAATAGAGGAGGCCTTCCAGTCCTATAGCTGGTCGATGATCCCCCATATTGATCAGGTGAAGGAATTGGTGAAGACTGCACCGTCGAATAAAATGGACGTGCAGGCGCTGGCATTGACATGCCACCTGGTTCAGGATGATGGAATTTACAGGTTATACCAAATTTGCACTGCCCCGTTTTCAAATAGTAGGAGCATTCTTTCTCACCCTGCCGCAATAGACACACGTGTGGGAACTTCAGCATCCCTCCCAATAACCCAGAGAATGCATAGTGCAAGAACTGGAAATTAAAAATGGAAGAACTATTACCGGCCGTAATGGGAATCCGTAACTATTGGGTGGCACATTACTAATGGATCCGCCACCATTCCTAGGATGGTGAAATTTGCAGGACGCACCAAATTTACAGGTCCCGGTCCTTAAGTAAAACTGCACAAGATAACAAATTAAGCAGATTGCGAACCAATCTAACCACCACCAAATCTTATTAAATCCATCAGACATCAGAATACCTGGCATGCGGGTTCCCCCGGCCTCTCCGGAAACTCCCCTCCTCCTATTCTTACAGCTACCCCAACCTGACCAATATTTCATACCAAAAACTCAAAAAAAACAAATACAGCTCAATGCTTATACAATTCCATATAAAGGAATCGTTAAAGGCCTATTGTTTGCCTCGTTCTTTGTAAGTTTTTCATCAGACCCTTTACAGAAAAGCTGAAACCCATATTGAAAACAACATATAGAAATAGAAACATATAAATATAACTCGAACCCAATTGTAATGAACACCCATTCGAAAGAAAAAAAAACCATGATTGAGGGCATTACCGAGCTGCGATCTCGAGGGTGATTGTAGCGGCACTTGATACCGTATCCACATGTCCCATTTCTCATGAAGTAAGCACAGTCAGGCTCGCCTGGTCTCTCTGGGTACAAAATTTCACTGTTCCAAAACCCCAAACGCCGCACTGATTCTGCATTCGAAACAATTCAAAAAAAAAGCCCTAGAAAATTCACAACCCCCCTATATACGAAAACGAAATCAAACACCAATGAAATGAAATTCAAATGCTACCCAAATGAACCCACCTTCGATGCCTGTTTGGGGCCCCGCCGGAACCCATTCCGCCGGCCGATCCGACCCGTTTCTTCCCGCGCTCCGGCCGTACAACTCCATTGAAAAATTGGGTTCTGGTTCTATATAAATTACGACTCTACAGAGAAAGGAAAAAAAAGAAAGGGGCAAATGGGGGAGAGAAAATAATATAAGTTTTTTATGTATAAATATACAGTGTTGAAGAGTGATCGGAGAGTTCGATCGAACTGGAGAGGTGTTTGGCGTCGAAGAAAATTAGCTACAGAGACGTAACGAGTGAGGGAGAATGTCTCTCTTTCACACTCTCTTTCTTTTGTTTCTCTCTCTAAACTGTACTCTCTCTCTCTCTCCAGTGGTTTTTCGAAGCGTAGCCTTTGTTTTCTCTGTCTAGCTCTCACTTTCTCTCTCCTCCGATCTCCTTTGTTTTTTATTTGGTAAATTAGAGTAAACCCCTTAAACTATAACTTATTTGTATTTTCAAACCAAACTTTTTAGGCCGGATTAAAATAGTCAAAAAAATTAAAAAGTTAAAAAATTAACCTACTTCCCAAACGGAGACTTATTATATCTAACACTTTTTGTCAAGATTTTGTCTTAGGATTTAAATAAAATTATTATATTTAACATTTTTTGTCAGTATTTTGTCTCGGGATTAAAATGAAATTAGGTCATGTGAATCATGTAACACTTTGTTTGATTTTTTTAAATAATAATGCATGTTATTAATTTTTTTTAGACAATAATATGCTTATATATTGATCACGATTGTGTAAATAAAATCACATAATAAGAGCATTATTATCTTAGAAAAATTTAATAAATGTATCAAGTGTTTCATATCTAATTTGATTTTGTGTAAATTTCTAACAGAATGAGTTAGTTGTAATAAAATAATATTTTAAGGTGGTTAATTGATCAATTTTAAAATTTAAAAGGCTAAAATGTAAATTAATCATAGTTTCAGGGTTTACTGTAATTTATCTTTTCTGTTTGTTATTGTACCCGCCTGTGTGGAAAAAGAGCGTTAAAGCTAAACAGAAGATAATTTTCATGAGACTATTTTAATGCATGGTAACCGACAGTGGTTTGTTTGAAATTACAAAAACGCCCTTTGTTTCCAAAACTTGGTTAGGACAAGTGATGAGGTGTACATAACAAAATTGGCCTTTGAAATTACGGGTTTGAGTCTTTTTGTTTTGACCTTCACGATAATTTTATTTTTTTGGTCATTTATAATTATGTCCTTTCTAATCATTTGTCTTTCAAGGATGATAGTTTGGTTCGTTTAATAGTTTATTCTGTTAGTCCATACATTATGCTAAAACTTTTGCTATGAGAAAGAAATTTTTTATTTTGAGTAATCATTTTTTAACTACCTCGTCTATCGAGCTTTAATGGTGTTGTTTAGTGTAACTGTTAAAATAAATTATATATTATAACTTAATAGATTATAGATTGTGATTTTAATCAGAAGTTATTAATTTGTTTGGTATAATTGTTAGATTATAAATTTAAGTTGCTGGGTAGTGTTTGTTAAATAGACTGTGAAGTAGTTTTTTCAATTAATTTTTATTTTTTATTATTCACTATTTGTCTACATTTCCGATAAAAAATAATAATAATATTTTATAATCCATTTGGGTCTTTTTTTATTTTTAAAAAAATAAAAAATAAAAAAATTTAAAAGTATAACCGTGAATTAACATGTCCACAGCAGAAGTTGATAATTAAAAACAAATTGTGAGCAGCTTCTCAGAATCAGCTTTTTTGACTTAAAATAAGTTGTTAGAATCAGAAGTTGTTTAAAATAAGTTTAACCAAACAGTCCAAAATAACTTTTTAAAAGCCAGAAGCCATAAGTTGGCTCAAAAAAGACCCACCAAACACCCCCAATATAATATAGTATTCTTTTGAGGTTATGTTTTGTATGTTTATTTGGGTTAAAATAGTCATATAGAATAAAATTAGCTATTTTAATTAAATAAAATAAAATGTTATATTCAAATCATAATAATTTTTTTTCACAAAAGTCAAGAAAGTCAAAAAATCTACCCCAATTTTTAGCCACATGCTAAAATAATATAAAAGTAAAAAAAGTAAAAAATCAACTTACATCTCAAACGAAGGCTAAATTAAATATTAAGTTTTAAAAGCCTGTCTGTCATTAAAAAAGTTTTTTTTTTAACACAAATTATATAAAAAAAATTAAATATTCATTTTTATTTATTATACTTTTTACATTTTTTTATATTTTTTTATCTCATATTTTAGATAAATAAATAAAAAAATCACTTTCTAAACGGCTCTAAGTGCAGAAGCAATAACATGTTTGTAGCATAATGAATTGTTAACTTTACTTCGTAAATTAGTATGTCTAGTGAGATTGATGATGATCTCTTAAAAGTTCATTGGTTGATATAATCGCCCTTATTATATATAATATTTAAATTTGTATTTTATTGTTATATATTTTGAGGTGTTTTGAGAAGATAATTCAAAGTTAATTTTTATTTTTTTTGACTTTTTTATTTATGTGAGAGGAAATGTGACTAAGAATATATTAAAAGTTGATTTAACTATTGTTTTTTATATGTTCCACCTCTTTTATTATTATTTTTTTTTTTTTTCTCCCCCCTCTCTTGTTGATTAAACTAAAAGAAGAAATATGAGTTGATGTTTGAATGCATGCGTGGGTAAAGCTTATCTTACATCCTACATAAGCACATGCCCACCTTGCACTCTCACAATTCATGAGTCCCTTGAAATTCAAACTAATAAACAAGTGAGCAAATTTTATTTATAATTTATTTTGTTTAAAATTATATGATTACACAGTTGTATTTCAAAATTTTAAGATGGCCTGATTACAAGAGAGGTCTTTCTGGAAGCCTTGTTACATTAATCTAAATTACAATTGTCACTGATTTCGACACATTCTTGTTGCCTTCTCTCTAAGTAGGTATCCGTCCTATGCCTTTTATCAATCTAGTTAGGCTTTCCAAAAGGTTTTTTAGTAGCTAGTGTCAAATTGGTACAATCATATGGATGTTAGTTAAGACTTGTAAACCTGATTAGGATTACGTTGAGAGATTTATAGAACATCTCTCTTGGCAACTTAATAACGATGTTTTTTTTGCTCAAAAGATTGAGTGAAAAATATTAGACTAAATCACTCTACGAGTACTGGAAGTGGTACTACGAGGTGTTAATGGACTATGGACGGCCTATAGAGGACTTTCTAAACCTTGTGTTTTATCTTGAAAGATATCTGATAAAACTTTTTATAGTTTATGGAAACTACTTATAAAAGAATTTCATTTTAAATTTTATGTCATAATGTTTAGTGCACCTTTAATTTACAGCATATTAAAAATTAATTTAAATAAATTAAAAAAAGTTAATATTAAGACACTGGAGAAAATAAACTTTTAGCTTATATTTATGGTATGTGAATCAAAAATAATTTTTAAAAATTAATATTGAAAAGTTTAAGAGAAAATATGTTTTATTTTGACTTTCTTAATATCAAATTTAAGCTTTATAAAAACAATTGGAGCCAAATTACAAATAAATACAAAAAGTTAACTTTTTATTCAGAAAAAAAGATTATTCCTTTATATAATATATATATTTTTGGGAGGGGGGGGGGTTATATGATGCGATGGTATGTCTAATTTTTAAAATAACAAGTTTCAATATATTTACAAAATGTTATAGATATAATTTATAAGAAATAAGGTCAAGTTTGACAAGTTGTTAAAAAGTCAAAAAGTTAAAAAATTATTTAAAAAGTTATCAATATTTATCAAAAGTTAAAAATTACGACTGCACAATTCATAATCTTAATTTTTCTCTACACACTAATTTATACAATTTTTTAATACATATTTTTTCATAAAAAGTCAAAAAACTAACCCAATCATCCATATTTTTTTGTCAATTTTTTAATCCAAAAAAATAAAAAATACACTTATTTAAGACATTCCAAACAATCCTTAAATAGTGTCAAAAAAAAGTCAAAATTTCAAATATTATTATACACTCTTATATATTTCAGTTAGTAATGATATCCAAACAGTTTTTATTTTATTTTTAATTCCACTGTACTATAGGGGCTAGATGCTTATTTTTCCTTGACTGTTGAGGGTACTTCCGTCAATGTACAATTATGCTCTGACAAGTGAGTTTTTGGCTTTTTTTTTTTTGCTAAAATGAAAAAAAAAATTAAAATAGTTAATAAAATAAAATATCACTTTAATTTTATAATTATTTTATTTTATATCTCATAAATATCATATTTAACCACCAAAAAAATTAATTATCTTCTCCAATATAAAAATAATCAAAAATTAAATAGTCAATTAAAATAGTTAATTTTCCAAACGAGGCATAGGCGTGGTGGCTATTTAACAATCACCCGCTGGTGATTTTAGCATTGCCAAGCAGTTGTGGGAATAAACAAAAAAAAAGGCAAAAACAACGGTGACCTGCAAAAGCAGATACGAGCGGGGTCAGACATCTTCACAAACCAACCAGGAAAGAACACGTGTCATTGAAACGGGGGACCCAGGTTCGCACACTTGGTTTGTCGGTTCTGCGCTTGTTTTGGCTGGACATTAAAACCCATGATTATTGGGTGACTACAAATTTATGGTTTTTTTGTTTGGAATTATGGGGAGGGAATTGAATTTGATAGTGAGGAAGAAATTAAGAATGAAATATTTGTTTTGAGAGATAAAGAGGGGATTAGTAATTTCTTGGTATTAGTAAGGAGGAGGAAGGGGGATTGGTAAGGAGGAGATAGAAATGGTATTAAAAAAATAGTGAGGGGATTATAAATTATTTTATTTTTTCTATTTTTTATATATTGGGAATTTTTTTAAATATAATGTTTATTTTTTATATTTTTTTTATTTTATTATTTTATATAAAAATAATTTAACAATTCCTCACTATTAATCACATCACTATCAATCCCCTCACTAACAATCCCCTCACTATTAATCCCTTCACTATCAATTTCCTCCATTCTATCTCCCAAAACAAACGGGGGCCTAAGGTACCAAATTAATTCTCTCTCTCTCTCTCCCCTCTCACTCTCTCAGGCCCCGTTTATTTGAGGTTATAGGGAGGGAATTGAGATTATTAATCCCTTGATATTACTAATGGGGTGTTTGTTTTGAGAGATGGAGATGGTACTATTAATCCCTTGGTATTAGTAGTCCCCTTGGAAAGGGGATTGGTAAGGAGGAGATAGAGATGGTATTAGAAAAATAGTGAAGGGATTAAAAAAAATTTTATTTTTTATATATTGGGAATTTTTTTTAAATATTAATGTTTAATTTTTTATATTTTTTTATTTGTTTTATTATTTTACATAAAAATAATTTAACAA